TAGGCACTCGCTATAATATACGAAACCCGATGATTGTGGTCCTTTTATCAACTCATGTGTATATATCAATCATTATAACTGCGACATATGATGCTTCACCTGTCATGCGGATAATTTTAGATTTTTCATCGAGAAGGTCTTTGAATAAAAGGACACCTGAAAGTCTATTTTATCATCTGTTCCCCTTTTCATTCCACATTCTCATCAAATAATTTTAGTTTTAAGTTCAAGTTTTTTTTTCGTCAACGTCACTATGGGCCATTAAATGTTGTAGATTATGTAATTCCATTCCCACTTCAAATGCACTTCCTTTTTTTATTTTCATTCCCACTTCCACTTTTTTTCTAATTTTCATTTCCACGTCCAATATTCATAATTCTCATTCCCCTTCCAGAACCACTTTTTCTAATTTTCATTTCCACTTTCCCTAATTTTCATTCCCATTTCCACTTCCACTTTTCCTAATTTTAATTTCTATTTCTATCTCCATATTCACTTCCAATATTTCTAATTTTCAGTCCCACTTGCATTTCCACTTCCACTTTTCCTAATTTTCTTTCCCGCTTCCATTTCCACTTCCACGTTTTCTAATTTCCATTCCGACTTCCACTTTTTCTAATTTTCATTCCTATTTCCACACCCTCTTTTTCTAATTTTTATCCCCACTTCCATTTCCACTATTTATTTTCATTCTCATTTCCATTGATTCTTGTTTTCATTTTTAATCCCATTTTTATTCTCATTCCCACTTCCACTAGTTAATTTCAACTCTCACTTCTATTTCAGCTTTTTATAATTTTCATTCCCACTTCTTTTAAGAAAATTAGAAAATGTGGAAGTGGAAATGGAAATGAAAATGAGGAAAATTGGAAGTGGGAATGAAAATACAAAAGTGGTAGTGGGATTCAAAAGAAAAAAGTAGATGTAGTAATGGAAGTGGAAATGAAAATTAGAAAAAGTGGAAGTGGGAATGTAAGTGGGAATAAATATTAGAAATATTGGAAGTGGAAATGGGAATGAAAATAAGAAAAAGTGAATGTGGAAATGGAAAAGAAAATAAACGTGGAAGTGGGATTGAAAAGAAAAAGGTAGAAATGGAAATGGGAGAAGCTGCACTAGTTCTTCATTCAACATTTTTGAATAATATTTGATATTTACACTTACTAATATATCACTGCTCATCCTTAGCTTTGGCAGCTAAGGATCAGCAAAATCGCTAGTACAATCAACTAATTGATTACAGCTAATGTATATTCGCTGCTACAGCTAAATCATTTTTTAAATAAGAATTGTTGTTACAGTAAAACATTTTGATATAAAGAGTTGAAGTAATTTTCTTTTGTTTTATATATTCGTTTGATCTCAGGAAGAATAAAGCTAACTGCTCCCGGAGTTTGGGGCTAGGTCTGTCTCAACGAGGATTCAAGTCCTGTCCAGGAGAAAAGGATGGTACGGGATGGGCACGGATTCATCCGTCAGTCAGTCTCTGGCAGCAAGAGAATCACAATGCGAGTCCTCTCTTCCTACGTCCTTCTGTCCGTCTATCCGTCTGACCGTCTGTCCATCCATTCGTCTCCGCCTCAACATCCTGTCACTCTTCTCATCCAGACTCCTGACAGTTCTCGCATTAGGAATTCATCTCGTCTCTCTCTCTCTCTTTCTCTGGCTTTTACTCCCTTATTCTCCGTTGATGATCACATCCTTTTGTTCTCGTTTTGTTTCTTCTGCAAGTCACACAAATTATGATACAATGTACAAAGAAACAATGCTCTCGTAAGAAAACATAGATTGTTTTTTTAAAAAACAGATTTTATTTTCTAAAATGAAAAAGTTCACCTTGGTTTTTGATAATAATAATTTTATATTGATTAAATATTTTAACGTGGTTTTATGGTTATGAATAATTTTTCTTATAAAAATAAATAATGAAAAAAGATATCCGCATAAATGTCGATCATTATCGTAAAAGAATTATTTAAGCTCAGCGACATTAAAAAATATTTGCCTTGAGTGTATATTGAGAGGAATTGCATGATTTTGGAGTTAAGATACTTTCGTTCTCGATACACGTGTATCCTGTATGTAAGTCTGTCTAAAGTAGTTCGTGCGCGCGTTTGTTCCTAAAATGAGAAAAAGTGTACAGCTCGAAGAAGAAAAAGAGAAGAAAAAGATATATGCAGCGAGTCGTTACATGCTAGAAATAAAAAAAAAAAGAAAACCGATAAGGCTAATTATTGTTGTGCACGGCGGGTGTGGGTTTAAGGAGGCACAGTCAAAGTTCCTGTACCTACATACCTACTAATATATCGTGTTCGGTCCCTACGTGCAAATCCGAGTGAGTCGAGGACAGCAGAAGCTGATATCGCGCACCAGCATCTTCTCGAGTGTCAGCACTCGATTCTTTGCCCGGTACGGTCCCTCGTGTCTTCCCCTCACGAGCAGCCAACCCCTGTTGAACCTCGTTAGCGAAACCTCGACTCTCCTCGTGCTCCGTCAATTTCGCAATTGATTCTCATCGTTTGTTTTTTAAAACCCAAAATTCATTTAATAGTTTTTACTATGAGATTACAATTGATGAAATTTCAAATATAACTTTTTGAAAAATTGTGACTATTTTCGTGATTTATAATAAGGTTGGGTCTGGCCTCGAATCCCTACGGACAATCTCTCTCTCTCTCTCTTGGACTCGATCCGTCCTTCTTGTGCGGACGTTCCTCCATTTGGTCGTCGTAGTTCTCCGTCCGGTCAGTAGACAATGGACAATGGGGACATAAATCTGCGTAATTAGTTGCCGATGCCCCCGCGGATCAATGTGCGATCTCCTTTCTCTCCCTCTTCGACTGGGAAAAAACGATCGTTTGGTTGGTCAGTTGGCAAAGGTAGGACGGTGCTCGTTGTCCCCACCCGAAGAAGTCTTGTCCGTCCTTCTGTCCCGATTTGAAGTATGTACTAGCTACCGGCGAAGGACGACACTCCCTTCCTTCCTGGAGGAGGACTTGCTGCAAGATGGCGGACACGCGTGCTCCTTCATGGAGTTCTTTTTTTGGAAAACATTTTTATTTTTCCTATTTGCATTCCCACCTCCAATCGAAACCTTGTAAATCAAGATGATGGACAAAGACCATAAATCTCCTGATTTACATGGGGTGTAATCGAATTGGAATTCGCCAAAGGGATTTATGATGAAAACTGGATTTAGTAACTTCTGATTTCTTTAAGTATATGAATTACAAAATTCGTATATTGTTACAAAGGAAACAAAATGTAGTCCAAGAACTTCTTTTCATCTTGAGCATTTTGCTATGATTAAAAGTGAAAATGGAAATGACTTGATTAAAACTCAGTGTCAATGACGGAAGAGCTCGACTTGCTTCACAATGCTTTTGCGCGTCTTCATCGAAGATGCATCCGACGGCTCTGGGTAGATGTCATCGTTGTGGCAACGGCTGATAAATGAACCGATAGCACTATTGTTATTCGCCATCTGCACATTTATATCGTTTCCATGAATTCTCATCACAGACCGCATCTGCCGTCATTTCCGCGATTCTGAAATCCCTTTCTTTCTTCTTGACTTGAGTCCAAGTGGAAATGTATACCTAAACTGTCGCAAGAGATCGATCTTTGATAACTGTGCGTCCATATCCATTTGAAAACTATGTTTTAAAAAAAATTGTGATTAAATTTTTTGATGGAAGAAATAAACTTTTCCGACAATTTACAGAATCGTTCCTGTTCTGTTATAGGATATTAATTTACTTATTGTGGGTTTTTTTTCTCTTTCTGTTGAAATTTTGTGCTAATCTAATGATTCTTTTATATTTTTAACGGGAAATGAAGCAGGAAGCGTCTTTTGAATTATGTTAATAAAAGTGGAAGCTTCTCATAATTTCCAAAACTCTATGATAGAAGTAACTCTTCCTTTGTGACATAATTTATTTATGATTTCCTCTAACGAAGCATTCATAAATTACCGTACATTTTTTCGACATTCTTTTAAACCCTCCCTCCGGCATCCACATGAATTTTTTTTAATTCCCTCACTCGTTAATTCACTGTTAATTTGAAAGTATCAAATTGAAATGAATTGATTCCAATATTAAAACATCCAAATATTGATATCAATTTGATCCAATTCGGTATCAACTTCGTGCCATTTTTCATTGAGGACTTTTAATTTATTGATGATAATGATTCAGCAAATAATTTTAATGTTCCTTTATAGCAAAGAATTCAGATTAACTCCCTTTGCTTTAATTCCAAAAGGATTTTATAGAATCCCATTGGGAGTTAAAATCTAATTCCCTTTTTTTGAGGGATTAAGGGAAATTATATCCTTGGGATGTCCCAGTAATGCTCGAAGACATCCTATATGGAAATCCGAGGGATATTCTAATTTCCCCGGATCAAATGATGTCCCTAATAAAATTTCCCGAACATCCGGGTGCTGATCATGTTAAGTGAATATAAAAAGAATTTTAATTACAATTATAAAATTTTTAAATATTTGTATCAGTACAAATCGTAATTATGCACAAATTAGCATAAATGTTTCCTGAAAGTAATATTTGTAGTAATTATAAAGAAATCTCCCCTTCCCTCCTTCATGTAACAGGTTTGTAACGAAATTACGAATCTCCTCTTTTACAAGTAATTTGTGAACTTCTAACCATTTCATTTGGCGGAATTTTAAGCTTTATTGAAACAAAAACAGTTTCTCATGGTAAACGAAATATGTATCCTCAAAAGATAATAAATTTATTAGAATAACAGAATCACATATTAAATTAATTTAACATAAAATCAGTAATGACTATTTGCACTAAATACAAGTCCCACTGATTCAAATTATTTAATTAAAAATCCAAACCAATAACTTTATTAAATTAGAGTTTATTTGAAAAGAAAGTTATATACCATAAGAATTATTATAACATGATAGCGTAATTGGAATTTAATGATACTTGAAATTAAATGTTTGTTCCTTTTTTTGGTTCTAGGGGAGGACGGCGTCGAAAGTTCGGGTCCCGGAACAGACCTACAAGGCGAGGAAGGTGACTGTGTAGATGAAGATGGACCGATTAGTCCGAACGAAAGGGTTGGCGCACCAGCGGTAAAGGAAGACGAGAATGGAGAAATCACTGATGAGGAAGATGACGAAGGAACCTGTCCCCCTACTCCACCATCTTCTATCACAGCACGATTGAACCCTGCCGCCGCAAGAGATACGGGTCCTCCAGATAGGTAAATATTGTACGACTTTATAAAAGTTACTGCTCGCTTTACCAGGTCATTGCTTAATTTAATGTTGGCTCTTGTCAGATTAACATTACGACAACAAACTCTCGCACCTCATAACAGTATATTATCTGTCTGGCGTTTATTGCTACTCTCAAACATCCTCCTGAAAAATCACTTTTCAAGATTAGGATAAGTGTGTTCTCTAAAATTTGATTAGCCTACATCCAATTATTTATTAGCTTCCATCTGATTATTTATCAGCTTGTTAACTTACACTATGTTAACAAATGAAAAAAATTTTAATTTCCTTCAATATGAATTCGATTTATGACTTTGCGTTTGTTAGGAATAATATTTAGAATTTTTTTATAGATTTTGATTTATTGCAATTGTTCAATAATTTCATTAACTTGAAAATAATTTTTATTAAATTATTTCTTGCAACATATCTTTATTTTTAATTCAATTAATTAAGCAATTATTTATTTCATTTATTGTAATTAAAAAAATTTAAACATATTAAATGTTAATATTATTTATTTAGGGTCACAAAAATTTGATTTTTTCCCTGATTCCAGATAGAATTTTTCCCTGATCTCAATAAAACTACTTGAAGGTACACAAAATCAAGAACAAATATGAATAATCATTGCTTTAATTAATAAAAGTGGACAGCAACTCAAAAATTTGTTTGAAGTTAACTTTACAATACACAAAATCACCCTCACAACAAAAGGATATCCTCAGGATATCCTAAACTAATGTAGGATATCCTGAGGATATTCTCAGAACATCCAAACCGCCGTTACGTAGGATATTTTTGGGTTATCCTGGGGATATACTGAGGATATTCTGGGATATCCTAGTGATATCGTGGGGATATTCTTGGGATAAACTTAGTATATCGTTAAAATATTCTAGAAATATCGCTAAGATCTCCCTAGGATATCATTATGATTCAAATTTTAGAACGACTCAAGGATATTCTAACCCTTAATATAATATAGACATACTGTGGATATCCTTAGGATGTCCTAAGGACATCCCTAATTATTTCAGGGATATCTTTAGGATGTCCTGAGGATATCCTTGGGACGTTCTAAGGATATCCACAGGATATCCTAATAATATCTTGGGAAATGATTAGGATATCCCTGGGACGTTCTAGGGACATCCTTAGATATCCCTAGGATATCCTAACCGCCGCTACTTTGGATATCCTTAAAGTATCCTTAGGATTTCCCTAGGATATCAAAGGGATATTTTTGGAATATCCTAGGATATCTGGTGCTGTGAGGGAAAGAACAAATATTAATAGTCATTGCTTTAATGATTAAAAGTGGATAGCAACTCAAAATTGTTTTTGAGGTTAACTTTAATACACAAAATCAGAACCAAATAGTAATCTGCAATCTGCAAAAATGAAAATATTAAAATAAACTAGTAAAAAAGGAAGCAATTTTTTATAATATTATTATCATTTGACTTACCTAGTTTCTAGAAGTTCATATAATTTAATTTCTTAACTACACATGCTTCACCGTGGTAAACTGACACGATCGACTATGATGCACCCTAGCAAGAAGTTCTCGAGGCTTGAATATCCAGCTAAAACAAGCATGCCTATCAATTCACAGTTTCTAACCTAAAAATCTTGTTTACTTAATTTAATGAATCCAATATATTACCAATTTAGAAATTTTCAGTTCATACGAATAAGTCTGAGAAGTAAATGAAATATACCATCGTTTGATTAATTATAAATAATAATAATAATAATAGTCCTTTGGGAGTGAATTGTTTCGTGACAAAATTACTCATCCCTAATTTAATTAATTCAGCCCAATGAGATGAGGGAATGTTTTTTATTCTTTTTGAAAAAGCTGACGAAAGAACGGAGGTCTTTGAAGCGTCCGACAATGGTAGATAGGTAGTGTAAAGTTTGCGTGTTGTTTGAGGCCAACAAATCGCCACGGATGGGATAAATAAGCCAGCGGTGTCAGGCGACTGTGATATCAGTGGCTGCCGCGTGGCGTCACTCAGCTAATAGAGATAGGCGCATGTTTCCAGCAGCACTCGTGTCTCTCTCTCTCCTCCCCACCCCCCCATTTAAAAGGTACATTGCGGAGCAGCACCCTCGCATCGCACACACACTCCCCTCCCCGCGAGTCCAAAAACTTCCCCTGCATGCGTGGTGGTGGCCCCTTACATCTACTGGCACGCATTCGGTCTCATTCAGTTACGAACCAGCCGTCGACAGCTCTGCTGACTGAATTCGTGTCATAAAACTCTTTAAACTACACTATTTTGGAATGTCCGCTAACTGGAATTTAACCACGTGACCGGACACATAAAATCGATTTATAGGTAAAAAAAAGTTTACTCATCTTCAAATACCTTCGATTATTGTTTAATTTTCCTGTTGAGTTATTTTTTTTCATTTATCATCTCGCGTTATTGTTCTATTATTATTTATTTTATTAATTATATTTATTTTTGTAATTAATTAATTAGCCCGAAGCGGATGGTAAACTACACTATTGAAATGTCGCAACATTAAATATTTTCTTTTTACTTTCCCGATGAGTTCTTTACTAAACCAAATTTATTACTAATTAATTCTTAACACTAATTAATTTTTTTTTAATTTTCTTGTTAAGCTTTTCTAAAATTTGAATTTGTCAGGTAAGGTAGTTTCCACTTTTACCATAACTTAGGTTCACTTCACACTTTTTATATACAATCAAAAAAGCTCAAATTTAAAAATTCAATTTCTTGAAGAATTCGAGCTAATGGGTCTTGTCACTGTTGGATCAAACTACATTTATATTGAACTTTCACTAAGTCCAAGCAAATCAACATCTCAATATTATTATATTGATTTAGATATTATTTTTATATTTTAAGAATTTGGAAAGCTTCTTATCATTTAACTACTTTTATTCATAGAAATCTTATTGTTATTCTATTAATTATTATTTTAATATTAATTAATAAACTTCATTATTAATTAATTTTATTAATGTTTTATTTCTGTTAATTAATTTTATAAATAATTCTTTGTTTATTTTACAATTGAAATTTGAATTTATAAATTTTTAAATATTAGTAAAAAATAATAGTAATATATTCAATTGCTATACGTAATAGTAATGTAATGTAAAAAATAATACAAAATAAAAGAACTTTAGAAAAGACAATATCAAATATAAAATTCTTTGTTAAATAGAAAATTAATTGTATATTTGTGACGCGCACTGAAGAAAGGTACCTACAATTTTATGTTTTTAAGTACCTTTCTTCAATGCGCGTCACGTGTATATTTTGAAAAAAATTTAATTAAATTATTTAATAAAAAGTTACTCAGAAATTAGTAATACAAATTACATCAACTTTTAAGATTTTCTTTTTTAGTTATTTATTAATACGAATTTATTAACTAAATAGGAATATCACTTCACATGTATTTCTTCCATTTGTACGCATGCGTCAAGTGAAATATACTTTGAAAATTGAGGTGTAGTCCCGGCAAATTGCAGACGGATTAATCAAATATCAACTAATTAGATAAAGGAAATTCATTTCCTTCTAACGGAATATGTAATCAAATAAATCTTTGACATTAATCTTATTTTTTTTCCATATTCAGTCAATTTCAATTAATCAACTGCAGTCAAAATTGAATTAATCAAACTGAACAATTTATTTCCTGCTAATGAAGTTGATTTAATAAAAAATTAATTAAAAAATTTTCATCACCGAAAAAAAAATTATAAATAGGCATACGTAATTTTTTTTAAGAAAATCTAAAAAATATTTATTTTAGAATCAAAGAGAAATGGATTTTGTCCCTCCAGCAGTAAAATCGGCATATAACGCCCGATGCTTTGATTTATGACTGTTCGTATTTATTGTCACTTCAATAGCTATGATTTGTTTGCGTTTAAATTAATAACATCCGTTATCTTTAGTATCAACTTCTATAAATTGTTTTTGGAATACATAATTTTTTCACAATAACTCTAACACAATCGACAAGTTTGATTATTATTGCCCTCAATATTTTTATTACTTTTTGTTTGAAATTTATAATAGCATTATTTAAAAAAAGAGGTATTGTTGTTATATTTTAAAAGGGAATGCTAGGGAAACATAATATGTATTTAAAAAGATTTAGTGATTGTTAAACGTGAAACCTAGGTTCAATTGAAGTAGGATTAATTAATGAAGTCTTAAAAACATGGAAGCTGTTCTTGAGGTAATAGATGATATTTTATAGAAGGAGTAAAATCATAAGATTAACAATTTTTAAAGAATAAAATTTGTTAGCTACTGAATAGAAGTATTAATTTATTGGGCTTTATTGACTCAACCCTTCAGGTCACATGAACGTACCTAGCGTCAAATATATTACAAAAGTAAATAATTATTTTTTTGGAATTTGTTACAGGGAACCAATGAGTCCACGTTGTCCTTCGAGAGACTCGCGGGAATCGTCCGGTCCAGCCATTGGAAGTCCTCCACCACCGGCAATCCGGAGTAGCGCTAGTCCCGTCAGTCCTAGTAGTATTGTACCTCTACCTCTTGGGACTCATCCACTCTTACCTTCTCATTCCGCGGCAGTGATGGCAGCTTACCTTCAGCAAACGCATCAGCGTCTTCTTTTGGGTCATTCGCCCTTATCGCGTGGCTCTGTCTCACCTCTTGTCACGTCCTCGTGTTCACCACCTGCTGCGACTCCTGGTCTTTTAATTTCACCAACTAGCTGTGGAGAAACGTCACCTACAGCCACTCCATTGCCGGCGGTACTTGACTTTAGTACAAGGAAGGCTTCATCAACGGAAGACGAAGACGATACGGTTTTGAATCTCAGTAAACCTCCCACGCCATCTTCATCGACTGAAACAAATAATGGACCGCTCGACTTGTCCGTTTCCAATAGAAAACGACCCGGTCCTGAAGATTCACCGCCACCTCCACCACGTAAGTCATCTAGGCACGCGGCATCGACTCCCACTGGACATCAGGATACCACATCTCCCTATGGTAGATCGGTTGTATCCCCTTGGACGTCACCCGTAGTGGCGTCTCATTTCCCATACTTTGCTGCAGCGGTCGCAGCAGCTGCTACTAGTCAACAGCAACTCTCGCCGAAAAGTACAAGCGGAGTAGTGGATCATCATCAACTCTGGAATGGCAAGATGAAACCACCGTCATCGTTGGACAAGTCTTATCAACCAAGTGAAGCTACAAAAGCCCTCGAGAAGATGAGTGAATTAAGCAAGCTCGGTGGAGAGGATTTGTTTCGTTCGTCTCCTGGTGGAATTGGTAATAATCCATCCGCCACGTCTGGGAGTCGACATAGCGCCTGGCAGTCCCACTGGCTCAACAAAGGAGCTGATCAGGCTAAGGATGTACTTAAATGCGTCTGGTGTAAACAAAGTTTCCCCACCCTTGCTGCCATGACGACACACATGAAGGAAGCCAAACACTGTGGAGTCAATATGCCAGTTCCTCCTCCATCGGTTGGACATCATCAGAACATTTCCTCCATAGCGCCACCTCAACATCAACCACAGACTTCGACTAGCGGCGGAAACAACGGCACTTCAACACCAAGCAAGCAAAGCCCCTCGGAGCTAAATCTACTGATTAAAGAAACCATGCCATTGCCGAGGAAACTTGTTCGAGGTCAGGATGTCTGGCTAGGTAAAGGCGCGGAGCAAACGAGGCAGATATTAAAGTGCATGTGGTGTGGTCAAAGCTTTAGATCTTTAGCTGAAATGACTTCGCACATGCAACAGACACAACATTACACAAATATCATCTCCCAGGAACAAATAATATCTTGGAAATCATCAGATGATAGTAAAGGTGGAGGAAGTACTGGAGGTGGTGTGAGCGGTGGAGGTAGTGGACCCGGAGTTCCTCCAGGAAGTGGAAGTGGTCCGCATGGAGGTGGTCCAGGAGCGGGCGCGACGAGTAGTCACGTTAGTGCTGTTTTGACTTGCAAGGTTTGTGATCAGGCATTTAGTTCGTTAAAGGAATTGAGTAATCATATGGTGAAGAATTCGCATTACAAAGAGCATATAATGCGCTCGATTACGGAGAGTGGAGGACGCCGAAGACAGACTCGGGAGAAACGAAAAAAATCCCTTCCTGTGCGAAAATTACTGGAACTTGAGCGTGCTCAAAACGAGTTCAAAAATGGTGATACTGGAGCAGGTATTGGACACAGTTTGAGTAAACACGCCGGTAGGATCACGTGCGAGAAGTGCGGTGAGAAGATTGAAACAACTATTTTTGTGGAGCACATTCGACAGTGCATTGGTGCTGGAACAGTGGGTGTGAATCAACGGAACTTTCTGAAGAATGCATTGATGTCAAATCACATGTCAACGGCTTTACCAGTCGGTGAATCTGGTAGAAAAAGCGTTAGTGAGGACACATCACCAGTTTCGTCGAGGCATCATCGATCACCCTCCTCAGCTAGTGATGCAACAACTCCGGGAAAGGACACTCCTACACCAAATACCATTGAACCTACGGGGACTTCATCTCCTTCGGTTTTGAATGCAATTGAAAAACTTATCGAGAAAAGCTTTGACTCGAGAGTTCGACACGGGGCGTCGGGTCTTCATCATGCACAACCGAGTGCGCCGATGGGTTCTAGTATTTTGAAACGCTTAGGAATCGATGAGAGTGTTGACTACACCAAGCCCCTCGTGGATCCTCAAACAATGAATCTCCTGCGTTCGTATCAGCAGCATCATTACAGTACTGGATCAGGTGCATCCAGACGGGAAAGAAGTGGCAGTGAATCGAGTTCAGTCTCCGAACGAGGGAGTGGTAGGACGGACGCCATGACACCTGAGAGACGTCTGGAGGTATCTTCCGGACACGAAAGGCTTTCGGTTTCGTCTTCTCTTCAGCGATCGACACCTGAGAAACAAACACCTCTACCGAACCGTCATCCACCAGAAGAATCCGGCGATGAGGAGACTGTTGTTGTGAAAAAAGAACCTAAGGAAGAGGAGACGGAAATCCCTGTGCCAGTCGGGGAGGAACAGACCCAGCAGGATTCCAGGGAAGTTGTGGTGAAGAAAGAAGTAGTAGAGTCGAGGGAGGAGGAAGAGCAAACAAATTTTAATCACAAGAGAATCAGCCAACAGGAATCGACGGACGAGAATCGTGAGGTTCTTTCTCCTCCGATGAATCCCCCGACGCCAAGATCCACTGTCGAGCCTCCAACTCGAAGTCCCTGCAGAAACAGCACTAGCAGTCCAGCGAGTAGCGATAGATCAGTGACACCTCGAGGAACTCCTGATACCAAAGCCTCCAGCAGCCTCGGAGCATTATCGTCAATGTTCGACAGTCTTTCGGGTGTTGGCGGAGGAACAAGCACCAGCAACGCAGATTCCCAAGGCCGTAAAGCCAGTAGTCATCCCTTGGCTGCTCTGCAGAAGCTCTGCGACAAAACGGAGACTCGTGGCTCTACTACCGTCAGCAACAGATCAGGTTCAGGCTCTTCGGGCTCATCCCATGGTACCGGAAGTGGAAACGGTACAAGCACAACTGCTCCGGGTCCTGGTCCTACGCCGGGGGCAATTCTCGCGTTCAGTTGGGCCTGCAATGACGCCGTGGTCACAGCGGACTCAATAATGAAGTGTGCATTCTGCGATACTCCTTTCATTTCCAAGGGTGCTTACAGGCATCATTTGTCAAAAATGCATTTCGTAAAGGATGGTGTCATTCCGGATCCGTTGACTATTGGCAGATCTTCAGCAACGACTACAGCTGTTTCTCAAGCAAGTTCCAGTGTTCCCAGTTCATCTTCTTTAACTTCAATGCACCGAAACAAGTCACCACCAATTCCACCTCAGGCAAACGGAAGTCCGTCACAATCTGCAGCTACTTCACTCGAAGAGAGTCCTCATTCAAAGTTTCTCAAGTATACGGAACTGGCCAAGCAATTGTCCAGCAAATACGTATAGTCCGAGCCCCGTAAGTAGCGGTGCCATTTGTACATAAGTGTATCTATATTGTAATGAGTTCAGAGAAGTCAGGTTAGATTAGTATAAGTCCGTCGTGCCGACGACGATACGGTTTCGTTGTTTTATTCCGGTCTTAATATAGTACTCTTTCACTGGGAGAGACGTTTTGCACCAAATATTTATACTTTCAAGCATAGGAATTGAATTGTTTGATCAGTTTTAAAGTCGTTTTAGAGGCTGTTTTTATCGCAGAGGATAAAGTAGGAAATGATAGGTTAAATTCGCTTCTGTGTAGAACATACGATCAATCGCATTTAGATTCTGCGCAGACGCGAATTTAACCTACTACTTTAAGCTTAATTTATCTATTCCTTTACTCTTTGCGGTGAAAACATTCTCTAACTTTTCGGAGCAGACTCAATTTTTAACCAATTAAATTAATTTTTATTTTTAAATAATTTAAACGCCGTTTTCACAGTGTGGGTTAAATTTAATCCTCCGAGAGGTTAAAGGCAGTGATATATTCTGCGTCTGCGCAAAAGCAAACATTCTGCGCAGACGCAGGATTTATCACTGCCTTCAACCTCTTGAAGGATTAAATCTAACCCAAGCGGTAAAAACAACGTCTAAGTAAATTTTTTTTATTCGGTTTTTTGAGTCGTTAATTATACCTCTTAACTACTTAGAGATTAATTCCCGGTAACTAAATTCTAATTCTTTTCATTTTAACAAAACTGTTTATTTCAGATATTTAAACTAATTTCTGTAGATAGAAAAAATTTAAGATAAGTTACTAAAATAAAGTTTTAATATTTGTTTATCATGTATTTGAATCAATCTTCTAATTAGTAGAATTTTTATATTAATGCTATTTGTAAAATTCGATCTAAAACAAATTATTTATTTTTTTATTATAATTATCATGACTCAAAATTATTTTAATTAAAGTCAATATATGTACAAAAAAAATTATATATATCTATTTACGAAATTCTAATGAATAAAAAGTTGAAAATTCCTGAAATTGACGATTTACATCATTCGTAATACTATTTGTAAATAATAATCCTAGAGTTATGTAGGAGTAAATTTGTCTTTCAATTAAAATTTTCACAAACTTTAAATATGTTAACCATGTCGAAAGCATAATAATGTATAAAAACGCAACCAGTGAGTTTTAACCAAAAAAAAAAAAAAAAATGAAAACGAAAATTTAAATTTTCCAGTGAAAAAGTAACTATTGGTTGGAAGGCTGATTGTTTTTAGTCGATAATCTAAAAACAGTTTAATTTTTAAAAAAGTACGCAAAAAACCTTCCAATCAAGACCGTGTGACGCTTATCGCGTCTTCTCGTTCCTGATTAGTAAATAAGACCATCGTCAGTCAAATGGTGTTTTATTACTTCCTTTCTGCTTCTAGTCTTTTAATAACCAGATTGACTAAAAAAATTTAACGAGATTAACACAACGTTATCAAGATAATTATCAATGACTGTTTTAAAAAAAACTATATAAGAATTTAATTGATTCTGAATCCATCGAAATGTTTTTATTTAATTCGAAAAAAAAGTTGAGTTTAAAATATTTTTATTCGTCTAAATTATAAAAAAATTTTTTTTTGATTTTTTATAGTGTTTACAGATTTTTTTTTATATGAATTTCAATTTTTACAAATAATTTTATTTATTTAGTTTGAAAATAATATCGCGTAGTTTTCATGTAATATTTGTCTTATTAGTAAAAAAATTTGAACATTTTAGTGGAGAGTCGGATATGAATCTAGAATAGTTATTCTGGTCACACACACATTGTACAAAGTAATTAAAGTAAAATTTTCAAAATTTAACACTTAACATCATTGGTTAATTTTCTTAAATTCAAAATGGCGGATCCAATATGGCGTCCATTTGTAAAAATTGTTTAAAATGCTTTAAAATTTGTTAATTAGGGAGTTTTCGGGCTCGTTGATTACGAATCTGATGTCAATTTTTCAAAATTCAATATGGTGGATTCGATCTAGGCAAAAAAAAAAAAATTTGTACCTAATTGATTTAATTAGCTTGAAACTGATTACTCGGGATTTTTCGGTGTCAATGTTTAGAAATTTAATATCAGATTTGTAATCAGCGACCTCGAAAACTCCCGAGAAACAAGTTTCAAATGAAGCCAAAAAATTTTTAAATTTTTTCCACCGCCATATTGGATCCGCCATTTTGTATTTTGAAAAACTGACATCGAATTCGTAATCAACATCTCTGAAAACTATAAAAACAACTGCGGCTTCTTTTTCTTTAAATTTAAAGTTTAATTAAAAATTAAATTAAATTTAGTTTAATTATTTTGAATTAATGAAAAATTCACAAATTTTAATTCAGTAAATTTTCATGATTTCAATCAGTAATTATTACTGTAAAGTTAGTGAATATAAATTCTCAGTGACAAATACTGATTAAAACCATGAAAAATGGGTGAATTAATTAATAATTATTAATTATATTAATTAATAATTAACTTTTCAATGAATCAGATGTTGAGAGCAATTAAGCAAATTTCGATAAGTAAAGATAAAAAGTACAATTATGAGTGGCCTTTTTTAAACAAAAGTTTGGACCTTTTAAAAATTTATCTACCGTGTAAGTTAATGTGCAAATAAGATAACAAATCAAAATGTTTTACTTGATAGATAAATTTTTTGATAGATTGAACAAAATAGCATAATTTCCTAACTTTTGCAACAAAAAAACCATGTACTAAATTATCAGAATTTAACATTATTCTGCCAAAAATTAAATTAAATTAATTAAATTAAAGGATTTAATCCTGCATAAGGTCTTTATTCTCCACTTGATGTGTTTCAAAAGTAACATTATTAATAAGTTACATTCGTATTATATGAAAAATTCACTAATATTTTTAAATTAAAAATGTTTTTTTTAAATTATAAAGTTTTTAAATTGTAAATTAAATTTATTATATGTTTTCTGATTTTAAATTCAATAATTGATTTTCTAAAATATATATATGATGGATCCGCAACGCTTTGAAAATTGAATTTTTCTAATATCAATATATATCGGTCTGTGAAAATTTCAATTTTAAAAACGTTCTACGTAGATTTTAGGGGTGCAATTATGACGATGATAGTGACGATATGCGACTAGTTGGGGGACGAGATTAAATTAATTGTGATGCCACCATATCTCGCGGCACTGCTGAGTCATGGGGCTCGGCGCGCGGCCAAGTATGTGATTTTATAATAAATACTTAAGAAGTTTTATGTTATACAGACGAGATGGTGAGAGGAATAGAAAACGAAAGCATAAAAGTTTATAGGCGCCAATTTTATTCCAAAACTTTTTCCAAAAAAAAAAAACTTTCTCAAATCTTTAACCTTTTTTTCTTTATAATATATATAAATATATATTCATGTTTCTCAAGAAAATGTTTTTTGTAGATCAAAATTTCAAACTTGAAATTTCACGTTCAATTGAACAATTTTTAAATAAATTTCAGGTTTGAATTTCTTGATCTATAATTTTTCGGCGCCTATGTACAGGAAGTAGTGAACCTAAAAGTTTTTTTGGGATAAAAAAAAGGCTTACCTATCACCTGTCATAAGGTCGATCGTCAGCATGTATACCTGTAGAATAAGTTGTAGGTCATTAGCATAGACTAGATTAGGCTCCTTGCCCATGTATAGGAATCTTTTTGTTGATACTTATTGCCACGGGACTGGTCATCAGTGGAGATATAAATCTAGATCGAATATAAGGAATTTGCAACAGCGATTTGAGGCTATAAAAAATTACCATTTTGTAAAACATTTTACAAATATATTTTCATTATATTAATTTTTTTTCATTTCATTCATTTTCATTTCAATTTCTTATCATTTACTTCATTAAGAAAAGAAACAAAAAGAAGTATAAAAATATTAAGTTTATTTTTTATAATATCGCATTAATAACACTCAGCTTGGTCGTTGGCGCCAGTGTTGGGATCTCGAATTATATTGTATTGCGCAAACGCGAGCGCATGTGCTGTCATTTATTGAACGCGCAAGCGCATTTGAGATGTCGGTAATGCAAATTCCTGCAAATTGAATTAGTTTTATAATTCCACTGTCTCCCGGGTGATGTTCAGCCGGTGAGCGAGAAGCGGTAAATAAAGCGCACGTCGCAGTGCAATATCGAATTTCATTATACTATATTATATTGCGATTATAGGAACAAGCGCTCCTCAATTTTGGAGCGAGCCTTTTTAACAGGCGCAGTGTCGTGTAATGACCATTGTACATTTTTTTCTCCTTGTTTTTTTTTTAAAATGATATTTATTATCGCGCCAAAATGAGCCACGCGTGTCATTAACGTGTATAAAAAAAATGTCATTTATTATCATTCGAATTATTGCGATATTCTGTATATTATATAATTAATTAATTATACAAAACATTGACGAGAAGATACGGTGATATCGGAATGACTGAAAAATTTTGAATGAATCAAGTAAAACTTTAAGAAAGTAGAAGATTTAAAAAAGCCAAAATATAAATTGACACAAGAAATTTTCCAAAAAAAACCTGCAATTTCGAAACTCTGCTAATTGTGGATTTTTTTTTGAGGATTAAGCAAATATTGTGCGGGAAAATTTCTTGTGCTATTTTGGAATGAAATAAAGAATAAATGAAATTAATGATATAAAAGAAACAAAGACTAAAAAGAGAGAAAGAAATTGTGGTTGAAAGAAAATAATAGAGAAAATGTATGCGAGTGAGAGAAATTATGAATGAATGAAGTAAAGAAAGTGTAAAGTAGCGTGTGGCTCTTGATTAATGAAAAAAAAAAAGTGAGAGAAGGGTGAAGTGACAAACACTTGTATACGTATTTCTTGTAAACTCTACTTCTTCCATCGCGGACTTTTAAAGTATTTATCAACATAATAATATTAATATTGTAATTACATACGACTGCTGAGAGTGTGATGAACGAAAAAAAAGTAATGGAGATAGAATTAGATGGAAAAATAAATAATGCGCGTCAATGTACGCGCACTAAAAACTCATATACGAGAAAAGGTAACGCATTCACACGAAACACGCGAACGTACCTACACATGGATTTACAAAGATATGCATCATGTATACGCGACTCTTGAAAAACATTTTACCAGATTTGTCATTATTTAATTATTTCGGTTGTATTTTAAAATGCAATTAAAGCTCAAATAAATATATATGTTATAAACTAATATATTGTCTCCTATTCATGAAAAACCTTATCCAATTCCTTAGTAATTAAGGTTTTTGATTTTAATGTAATTTTTTTTAATGATTAAAATATGCATTTAATTTCTTAAAATTAAAGAATTTAATTTCAAAATAATTTTTGTTAATAATTTTTTTTTTATTTGAGACGCTCCACGAGAAAAGGGACCTTAGAGGCAAAAGATTTTAGGTTATGTTTGTGATTTTTGAAATGAAAATACACAAAGCGGATTAACTCTTAATACAAACCACTGATGTCTTTATTAGATCAAAAATAGAAACTGATTCTGATTCTACATATTTAAAAATGTTTAATGAAGCTAAAACTATAAACATAACCTAAAATTCTTTGCCTATAAGATCCCTTTTTTGTGGAACTTTTATGATTTTTTAGTAATAATTTCTATAGTTTTAAATATTTTCTTTAAAATTAAAAACTAGTTACATTTTTTGGAGAAAAGTAAGAATACAGACGCCAAGTACTTAAGTAAGTATGGAATCTTAAATATTTTTAATTTATCAGGTAATAAAAACATTTCCACTATTAATTGTAAAGAAGAGGGAAATAGGAAATAATATAAATAAGATAAAACTTAAATTATAAAAGTTCAATACTTTTTAATCTAATATGAACATATTTAAATGAGAATATTTTAAAAGTATCTTTTATATTTTCTGCCTTATTTTATAAAATATATATATACAAGTCGATAATTCTTTGACTTCTTTTTGTAAATTGATATTTAGAGACATACTTATTAAACAAATAAAAAGACTGAAATATGGAATGTCGCTTTATAAAGTTGCAAGAAGAAAAAAAGTTCTAACCAGTTGTTGTTTTCCTGCGCAAAAGTAGATATTGCTCTAAAACAAGTAGTACAAGCAATAGAGGCAAACATTCAGTAGAAACAGTCATGCTTTGTGAGACACTCTCCAATTTTGTGTGTAAACGTAGTAGATAAAGTAACATTCTCTTTTTATAAAAGTGATCACGAGCGTTTACATTTTTTTTTTATTAAAATATTTATGAATTTTGAACATTATGTTGTAATTACCTAGTCATTATTATGACTGAGTTATAATTGTAAGACAGCAGAACTTGATTAAGATTTATAATAATTGCTCAAGCATGGTCTGATATTCTTAGCTAATAATACATTTTACTTCTTTCGACTGATAAAAAACAATAAGTTAACCCGAAATATTTATTTACAAATATTAATATATATTTAAATATTATTAATTATTAATTATTATTAATGTTCTAGAAATCCGTTTATTTAATAAAAAGATATTAGTAATTCTAATACGTCTATTAACTAAAAATTAAACTTTTTTAAATATGATGTTACAATTCCTTTTTTTCTAGTAATTTTAAATAATGTAATGAGAACTGTTGTATATATTTTTATTTTTTATATTAAAAAGACTATTTCTATAATATTTTTATTTATGTTACAATACTATTTTTTTCAATTTTTAATTAAAAAATCTTTGACATATAAATTGATTGTATTAATTAATCTGTATAAATTATGAATAACAGCAAAATTAATTAAACATGTTTTTATAAAAACATGTTTTATTTTATTATTAGCATTTTGTAAAAACTTTTTGTTTCAAATATTTTTCTACTTTCATTTGAATAATAATTAATCATAAAAATATCTTTGAACTCTTACGTGACATTGTCAATAACTCCGTCAATGTTAATTTAATAAATTATTGGATTTTTGTTATTTAAAAATGATTAAAGTATTTACATGTTTACATCATCACGAAAATGTAAAAACAATAAGTGCAGGTTATGAAGACTGACAGAATTGCTATACTTGATATTTTTATTTATAATATAAAATTTAACGAATTTCAAACTTTAAAACAATTGATGACATATTAATCCACACCATCTCTAACTTGTAAGAATTAATATTCGTATATATAAGATTCTTTGTTATTCAATCTGATGTTAAATTTATTATTATTAATTTTATAATGTTCATTTGATCAATATTATTTATTCCCAATAACACATAAAAAACATCTGTCACAACATTGTATTATCACTCCACAATTACTTGTAAATTTCATTACAGATAATAAAAATCACTGAAGAAGGCACACATTTGTTGCCGAAATGTTTGAAATCAAGACTAATCATCGTTCTTTATTTCATGGACCCTAAAGCCAAAACTTAAATCAACAATTAATTTAAAACAATTGTCATCTAATAGATTTTTATAAAACATGAAGCTACTGGAAAGGTCAAGCTTCTATTGTACTTTAAATAGAAGTAATAAGCGAAATAATTTTAGATAGCGGTCCCACAGACCGCTAAAGCAATTTAAAGGTTAAAGATAAAACTATTTAAGGGGGAGTTATACCTTTGAAGAGTAATTTTAGCCGTTATTTTGTGAATTTTTTTTTAACATAAAGAGAATGAAACAAAACGGTTTTTACATTAAATTTATTGAAACTTCTAGTTTATAAAATAATGATTTTTATTTTAGAATTTTTTGTGCCTGGTCTTTAGAGGGCGCTAAGACTGTCGTTGTTGCTTGCCCCTCTCTCATTGGTGGGCATAATTGTGGCTAAACGATATGATCTGGAAAAAAAATCCAAAGTTTTTCTGAATTTAAGATAAATTTATCTTAAAAGTACGTAGGATTTTAATAATTAATAAAATTAACCAGAATAATAAACTGTGAAAAATAAGTATAATTATAATTAAATTATAATTAAACATAATTCAATTAAATATTAACTATTGGTCGAAAGATTTCTGCGAAATCAGAAAAGAAATGATCATTCATAACGTGATTATTTAAAATCATAACGTTACAATGTGTTTCAGCATTTTAATGTTCTTCCCGAAAGTCGTATTTATTATTGACTAGGTCTTCTTTTTTTTGTTTTACTTCAGCTTACTGAATAGTTTTTTCTCGGCATCTAGAAATACAGTAGAAACTATACATATGTTCTTACAGTGGTTTATCTTGTATTACCAGATGAATAAGTTTTCCTCTTTTCCATATTCGTGGGAACGTGACGTTGGCCTGTTGTACAAAAGCACTGACTCAGGTTTAGCGTTTACAACGTTGTTTAAGTTCGATGGAATTTTTTCTGATTTTTCCTGGAACGTTATCAGACTGCATCCTTGACACTGCAGTCAGCAATTTATTCTCCGTGATCCATCTAAAGGATTCCGTTTTTTTCTTCTCGGAAATTGACTTCTTCATGATGGGACACAGATGATACGCTTCTTTTTTGACTTAATAGTCGTTGTCCAGTTCTTCACACATACTTTTGTCCATTTATTTCTTTTAAAATATGTGCAAAGACTAACTGAATGAACAATATCAAACATTTAAACTTCTTTAATTTGTTTTGTATACTTTATAACAAAAATTATTCTGAAAGTATTATATACTGTGAGGTTATAAAAAAAAATTTATAATTTTTGTTCTCACCTTCGGATTTATGATCGACTTACTTATAAGGGTCTAAAATAATTTCCTCTAAAAAAATGATTAACTAAATTAATTAATTAATAATACATTTTAATGTTAAAATTTTAAACCTAAACAAAACAAAAATTTATTTTCAAACACTATCAACTTTTAACAAATTTAATTAATTAATTAATTAATTAATAATTAATTAATAATACATTTTAATGTTAAAATTTTAAACCTAAACAAAACAAAAATTTATTTTCAAACACTATCAACTTTTAACAAATTTAATTAATTAATTAATTAATTAAATCAGCAGTATAAAAAAAATAATAACAATATATTGTAATCAATATTTGATGTTTAATAATACATGATTTTCCTCTTTACGATATTATCAATAATAAAGCATTATCCAAATTAATTTCAACCAAACATATTCATCTCAGTAAATTTTCTTATTTAACGTGATTTTTAATAAAATTAATTATAACTGACGATACGCGAAAATAAATTTTCAATTTCCATGTCGTAAATTCTACAAATCTCTGATTATTTGAATTTCTATGAACTTTATAAATTAAAATTATCAACAAATAGAATTCATTGAAATAAAAAAAAATTAGAATTTCATTCATTCAATTATTGACTAATTATTCAGAAAACCTTACTCGATCTCGACATATTTTATTATTTCAATAAATGAACGCTACGTTAAATCATGTTTCATAGAACAATTAAAAAAATAAATTTTAATTTCACTATATTATTCTATAACGATACGATAATTTTTAATAAGAAATCACTTCCTTTGATATGAGATCTAGATTCAATTTTACTTTAATTATTGTAATTCCCAATACAAAAAAATCGTCAATGGGCGTCATTCAAAATGAATATAAAAATCAAATCTACATCTCAAAATCGTTTCGAAAAATTTTAGAAATGGAAATAGTCAAATTCAACTCACTGGATATAATTTTGCCGATCACTTTTAATTATTATTAAATAATAATATATAAAAATAATTTGGGTCGTTACAATTTTAATAAAATCTCCATTACAAGATATCATTTTAATAGAAAATAATTTCTAAGATATTTCAAATTGCGTGATATCAAAATGTTTAATTGATCTATTGGTTTTTTAAACTAACTTAGATTTCTCTGATAGTTTAATCTAAAAATTGAATTTGACATTAAAGTAAAAATAAATTCCAATTACAAAATTGCCTTTTGGAACACTCCTTATATACAGTTTTAATGCAAATTGTCAGTTTACAGAAAAATAAATGACTTAAAAAGAGTTAAATATCAAATCATTGTAAAAAAAGAAAGAAGAAGAAAAAAATAAAAGCTAAAGCAAAAAAATGCAAAAGCAAAGGAACATAAGAAAAGTGTAAGCAGAAAGAAAATAAACAATGGAGAAAAAGAGAAGCATAAGATGGAGACGAGTCGATGCACAGAAACCGGTCGTCTTATGGGATACGCTGCATGCCGTAGATACGCGGATACTTTTATTTAAACCGT